CCCTGCTTAGCTTCTGAGGTCAGACATCGGGCTTGTTCAGGGCAGCATGGCCATAGACCATATACCGTGGCTGCACTGGGACGCTAACCCAGGACCTTCTGCATGTAAAGCAGACGTGCTAATCGCTACACTATGGAACCACGTCCAAGTATTCTTTTTTTTTAAAGCATGTGATTTGATTTGATTATTAGTTTCAAATATACAGTACATTGGTTACACATTTATATAGTTTATGAAATGATCCCCCTGATTGCTCTTTCTCTCCTCTGCCTCTATACACAGCCATTACCTTACTGCTGACTGCGTTCCCTATGCTGTGCTCCCCATCCCTGTGACCCTCTATCAATTACTAATTTGTACTTTTTTAACTCTTCACCCCAAACTCCCTCCCTTCTGTCCATTACCAAATTGTCCACTATATTTGCAAGTCTGTTTTTGATTAGTTTGTTCTTTTTGTTCCTTAGATTCCACATATAATTGAAATTATATGGTTTTATCTTTCTCTGAGTTATTTTGCTCAGCATAATAACCTCTAATATCATAGCAAATGGTAGGATTTCATTTTTTTATGTCTGAGTAATATTCCATTGTATACATGAACCATAACTTCTTTACCCAGTCATCTGTCTGTTGATGGGCACTTAGGTTGCTTCCATATCTTGCCTATTGTAAATAGTGCTGCCATGACATGGGGGTGCATAGATCTTTACAAACTATTGTTTTGGTTTTCTTTGGATAAATACCCAGAAGTGCAATTGCTGGGTCAAAAGGTATATCCATTTTTAATTTTTTTGAACCTCCAGACTGTTTTGCATAGTGGCTGTACCCATTTACAATCCCACCAACAGAGCATGAGAGTTCCCTTTTCTCCACATCTTCACCAACACTTGTTGTTTTTTGATTTATTGATGATGGCTACTCTGACAGGTGTGAGGTGATATCTCATTGTGGTTTTAATTGGCATTTCTCTGATGATTAGTGACCTTATGATTAGTGGGCATTTTTTCATATGTCTATTGACCATCTATATCTCCTCTTCGGAGAAATGGCTGTTCAGGTCTTCTGCCCATTTTTTAATTGGATTTTTTTTTGTTGTTGTCATTGAGTTGTATGAATTCTTTATATATTTTGGATATTAACCCCTCATCATATGTATTGTAAGCGAAAATCTTCTCTCATTCAGTTGATTGTCTTTTCGTTTTGTTGCTCATTTCCTTTGCTGTGCAGAAACTTTTTAGTTTGATGTAATCCCATTTGTTTATTTTTTCTTTTGTTTCACTTGCCTGAGGAGATATATCCAAAAAGAAATTACTACTAGTAGTATCAGAGAGATTACTGCCTATATTTTCTTATAGAACTTTTATGGTTTCAGGTCTTACATTTAAGTCTTTAATCCATTTTGAGTCTATTCTTGTATATGGTTTAAGAAGGTGATTGAGTTTCATTTTTTTTGCATCTCTGTCCAATTTTCCCAACATCATTTATTGAAGAGACTATCTTTACCCCATCGTATATTCTTGTCTCCTTTGTCATATATTAATGAGCATATACACGTGGATTTATTTCTGAGCCTCCTGTTCTGTTTCATTGATCCAAGTATCTGTTTTTATGCTAGTACCATGCTGTTTTGATTACTGTAGCCTTGTAGTATAGTTTGATATCAGGTACTGTGATACCTCCAGCTTTGTTCTTCTTTTTTAAGATAGCTGTGGGTATTCGGGATCTTTTATGGTTCCACATAAATTTAGGATTATTTGTTCTAGTTCCATGAAAAATGCCATGGTATTTTGATAGGGATTGCATTGAATCTATAGATTGCTTTGGGTAGTATGGCCATTTTAATGATGGTGATTCTTCCTACCCATGAGCACAGTATATGCTTCCATTTATTTATATCTTCTTCAATTCCTTTTTTCAATGATTTATAATTTTGTGAGAACAGGTCTTTTACCTTCTCGGTTATTTGATTCCTAGATATTTTATTGTATTTAATGGCAGTTGTAAATGGATTTTCCCCCCTAATTTCTCTTTCTGAAAGTTCATCATTGGTGTATAAAAATGCAACTGACTTCTGAATATTAATTTTGTACCTCGCTACTTTACTGAATTCATTGATCAGTTCTAACAGGTTGTTTTATGTGTGTATGTGGAATCTTTAGGGTTCTCTATATATGGTGTCATGTCATCTGCAAATAATGACAATTTTGCTTCTTCCTTTCCTATTTGGATGTCTTTTATTTCTCTTTCTTGTCTGATTGCTGTGGCTGGGACTTCAACGCTATGTTGAATAAAAGTGGTGAAAGTGGAAATCCTTTTCTTGTTTTGAATATTTACGAAACTGTGTTTAG